TTTATTAATTTTTTTATTTTTATTTTTTTTCGTCTTGACGTTGCCATTTTGAAAGCTTACCTTGTGTTTGGCCTGGCCCACATCCAGGGTCAAACTACCTGCAGCCCCTCCTGGGTCCCCTGTCCAACATGTTACAGATGCTACAGGAGTGCAGTCAGCTTGAGCTGGCACTCAGAGTGCTGGTCAACTCATACGGCAGCTGCCTGCAACACGTCACCTCTAATGTTATGGACATAAAGCTCAGTGTACAGGTATGGCTGCAACATATTAATTACTGCTATCAGTGCTACTTCTGTATATCTTTCTTGACAATGGTGCAGTTATTATAGGTTCAGCTACTTGCCAGTGAGACTAAGGAAAATGTCACTGTAACCTGTTAACTCTTCTTTCAGCTTTATGATCCACAAGAGCTTAAGAAGTACAGTATATGCTTGAATGATCTTCGAAAAACAACTACTTTGTCTCTGAATGCTGTTGCTGTGGCTCTCTTGAACAAGGTGAGTCTGTTGGAATTGATGTCATGAGAGGGTATTTTCAAATTTACTGTATTTTGGTATATTTTTAAATAACGGTATCTATATTTTCTATGGGCTGCAGGTGTTCAACTGGAGGGTGGTCGATTGTGATTTGGCTATTGGACTCTGTACGCTCCTCTCCAAAGCAGAAGTCTTCAAAATACTGTGGAAGGTTATTGACAACACCTGGCAAAACTATGACAAAATCTTGGTAGGCAACATAATGACTGTTCTTCTGTACTTTATTGTCAAACCTTTTTATTGTTTTAATAATTTAAATTAAAGAGAACCAGGGAAAATGATACATTCTAAGGCTGGAAACTCATGAAACCAGTTATTCTGTGGTGTATTTAACTGATATTAGGGTTGTTGTGATACTAACATCAGAACACAGAGATTAATAAGTTCTTTTGGACCATCTGTCTTCACTTGACTGACTTAATTATCTGAAATCTGAGCCCTATACACTGTGTATGCAGTACCACCTTTAGTGACCATTGAGAGATCAGCACGTGTGTATGCACATCTCTGTTCATGTTATCTTGAACAAATGTAATCAGCAACTTCCTCTTGATTATTTCAGGCAGTGGCCAGAATCGGGGCCAATCTCTGCTGCTTGTACAATGAGGCAAACGAACAAGAGAAGTTTTTCTCAGTCATCACTGATGCTGAATGGGGCATCAAGCTTGGCAAACTTGAGGTGTGTGTGTGTGTGTGTGTGTATATGAACACCACTTCAATCACATTATACTTCACAAGTTGCTCCCTCTTGACTTGACCTTTTTTATTTAACGTGACTTGACATTTGCCACGTCTGCCCCTGCTCTCCTCCAGATATCCATCCAGCCAGTGTTTCGTCAGCGGCCTGAGATGAAGAGTAGTCTGATCCCAGATCTGGTAAAAAATAGGAAGATCACCCCAGACATTATCCTCCAGTACTGCAGGTCAGCTGCTCAAACTCTTCAATCTATTTCATTGTGGAATATACAATAACATTTTGGATCCAGAATGGGATTAAGTGTCACCACCACAGTCTTTTCATGCCTGTGCTAAAAGTCAACATCGGCTTTCATCTGCAGCACCTTTGGTCTAGACCGCGACGGTGTGATCAACCAGTACATTACCACCTTACTGCTGCTCCAAGAGGACGAGGAAGGTATACACCAGGAAGAGATGCAGCCTCTGTGTCATGAAGACGCACTGGAGCGAGTCCTACAGATTATCCCGATGTTACACAGCACCAGTGAGCTCACAGACAGTCTCTGTGCTGCCATGTTCAAGGTTTGTGCTTGTGGGATGAACTAGAACTGGGAGATCTTCTAATTAACAGGATGGCTCAACAGTCATGTTTTTCAGCCCTTTTTTATGGGTGAAATGATAATTTCTGATAGAATAAGTTTATATCAATTTCACCCAGAGGCTGATCAAACGTACAATGCTAGTATTTTTAATTAAAAATTATATTTAAAGAACCAAACAACCAAAAAGCTATATCTACATGCTTTTAATAGTGCAGCTTCTAAATGACAACAGCCCAATTATTTTATTCCACTCACTGCATAAATTACTTGAATTTTGCCCTGAAAGTTTTATTTTTGCTTTCTGCTTGAAATTATTTTGGTGTTTCTATCAGAAACTAAATTTAGGTTTGGCTATGCACCTAACTTGCAAAATACCTTTCTCATACAGCTCAGCCCTTACAACTATGAGAGGATCGAAGTAGTGCTGAAGATCATACAGGCTGCAGATGAGAATGTGACAAGCTTCTCTATTAGTCAGGTAAAAAAAAAACACATTGGCACATTTAAAATTAAATATTCCTGTCTTCAAGATGTATTATACAGACTAGTAACCTGTGTCTTTGAATCCACAGGCAATGGGTCTCCTTCAGCACCTGAAGTCCTACAAGCGAGTCTCTCCTGCCTCAGATGTGGAGAACACATATCTGCTGGAAAACAACCTGCTGCCCAACCCCCTCTCCAACAGCAGACTGCCTTTCCACCTACTTATGCAGACCAAACATTACTGGAAGATTATCTGTGAGTCACCAAAATATTTTTATCCTTCACTTTTATTTCTGAGAAACTCAAACTTCTCTGTTTTTATTAGACGTGGTTGCCTGTTGGTGATAGATGTAATCTTAAAGGAAGGATGTACGCATTGGTGGTCAGAACATCTATTCAGATATTTTTAACCACCTGTGGCTCTGACTGCAAGTGACTTCCTCAAGTGGGTGATGGATGAAAGTTTAATCACACTGACCATCTCGGACGTCTTTGTGAAGCCTCAGATGGCAAAATATGTATATTTATTATAAATAAATAATTAATATTAGGAGATAATGAGATGTGTGTATTTTTTTTAGCTCCTGAGCTCAGCGAGGAGACGTTCCCTACACTTCTTCTGATTAGCAAACTGATGAAGGTAAAGCACACTTATCTAAAAAGTAGCTTTTACTCTTTAGAATAATCACAAAAAATAGATTTATCCATAAAGTTCGACTGTTATTCAGGTTATTCATCTTGTCTCTGTCCAGGTGAGCCTTGACAAGTTATACATGTCAGCTGCCAACCATGTGTTTGAGAAGAAGATGAAGCCTTTACTCTTAGAGCAAAGGAAAAAGGGTCAGGGTCATGGCTACAACAAGGAGACTTTCAAGGTGGCCAAGACCATGATGAAGTACATCCACTGCATCCAGAGCCCGGAGTGGGCCGCTGCCACAGCCCACAAGATCACCCAGGAGCTGCCACCAGGTCTGACCTGCAGATAAAACACTGCCGCTACACCTCCTGTGTGTTTGTACCATTGCTATATACTGTCAATGGTTTGTACTGTATGTACTGAATTGTTTCCTGCTCTCCACAGGCTATGAGAAGACACAGTCACTTAGGTTCTGTTTGGCTCTTGGGGATGCCTGGCTGAAAGATCCAAACCTTGAGGTCAGTATTTGTGCCTTAATTATACAGTATAAACATAAACTTTATCTAGTTAGTTTTATCATAAGATGGTTGGTTTTAATGTTCACCCCAATAATCCTGAGCAGGAGGCAGCGCGGGCCAGAGGGGAGACCTTTCTGTCAAAGCTGAAGCTGCAGTTCCAGCGCTCGGCTACTGAGAATACTTTGATAACCAGCCAGTTGAACAGCCCAGAGCATCTGAAACTGACGGGGTTGCCAGCCAGGCTCATAGTGGCCCTGTATGAGCACAGCAGTGTGGAGCAGCACTACAGAGACACAGGAGGTCAAACATATCCTGGTGAGCACACTTTGACACAGCAGTCTGCTGTAGAAGCTGAAGTAAAGCAATGTTCTGTAAGTTTCTACTAATTAACACAATACAATATCCATTCACAACGTATGCTAAAATAGTTTGATGTGTTGTAACTGGGAGCAAGTCCTTATAATAATATTGATTCTTTGTAATTGGATCATTTGTCTCTGAGCAGACATACATGCAGTGGTTAAGGAGGTAGCCACCATCAACAATGTGGATCTCTTAAAAATCCGTAACATGATGTTGGAAAAATGGATCTGCAAAACAGGCCCTGCTGTTGCCAAGGTCTGTCTCTCTGAGCTTACCTTCAGTTTTATCACATATTCATAGTTTCTGTTTATCTCCATATTTTATCAAATTTGGTCCATTGTGTAGAATTTTGACAAAACATTTTTTCTTTAATAAAGGATATTGGTAATTACGAATGTGTCAGCCGCATTGAGGAGGACCCAGACTTAATGAGGTAGAGACATTACTGTTATTTTCTGTACGAGAAATAATTGCATGTAAGTAAGTTTGTAGCATCAATTGGTTACTTTTTTATGTAAAATACAATATGTGCCTTGTATGTTATTATCAGGTGATCATCTGTTACGATTGAAATTTGCAATTTACTGTAAATTAGGTTGGTGGTCACTGTATTATTTGATGAGTTTCTGTTTGTATTTATTTGATGCTCTCAGGGTGGTGTACATGCTGCAGTCGTGCCCCATGGATGATGCTGTCCGTCTTCTAAACCCTATCCTATCTGCCGAAACCTGGGTCAGTAATAAGTTACGGTAAGTCAAAATTGGACAATGTGTCCACAGAAAGTGGCTAATGTCTGTTTTTGGACTTCCTCCTGTAGCCACTTAGCTCTTCTGGGCCTCGTCTGACCTTCTGCCATCGGACTCGAGCGCTGCTTTGTCTCGTCCGCCTTGCTGATGCAGCCACTCTGGAGACTCAGTTGCAGATCCCTAGGACCAAAATTCAGTAAGAGGCCAGGAAATCTGTTTAATACTGATGGAATCGGTCAATGTAAGGGTTGTGTACGATAATAAATGCTTCTGTATGTTGTTCCATGCAGATATTACTTGAAGTGCTACGTCTTTGTCTCTCAACTGGAGGCATTAAACATCCCTTACACGGTGCAGTCTTTCCTCAGTAGTCCCAAAGAGGGCTTGGTCAAAGGGCTGTGGAAGAACCACAGTCATGAGCCACAGGTACTCTCTAACTGAAAACATCAAAACTATACCAGCTAGTTAGCTAGCTACATTACCTTACTTCACTATGTTAGAAATGGGTACAGTACAGCAAACTGCGATGCAGGAAAACTGAAGCGTACACTTTTGCTCTTTCAGGCGGTGCGGTTGGTGGCAGACCTGTGCTTGGAGTATCAGGTGTACGACCCTCAGCTGTGGAACAGTCTGCTTCAGAAGCTGCTGGGATTCAACTTGGTGAGAGGACATGCACCCACTTGTTTTATTTTTTCACACAAGTACTTAAAAAAAGAACTGAGCACAGTACATGACGTACAAAAAGATGTTGGTCTTTTTAGTTTTTCTCCATTCTTTGTAAAATTGTTGGATGGACTGCTCAAAATCCTTAAATACATTAAATAAAGACAACTTGGTTGTGTGTTTTGAAATAAAACATGTTTTCCCCCTCAGATCAGCCACCTCCAGAGGGTGCTGGAGGCAATAGTGGCTGTGCCTGCTCTGTGGGAGGTAATGTCATAGTTAAATAAATGCAAATGATGTTTCATGTTACATTTTAAATAAAATAAAATATATTCCCAAAAGTATATGTGATAATGCGGTCATGGTTACAAAATGTCGTTTCAGTACAGTTTTATTTGTTAACGCAGGGTCAACTGTAGAATGAAACCGTACACTATAGATATGAGAAAGTGATCATTGTGTATAAAAGTAACAGGTATGAAGAGTATTGAAGATCACTGTTATGAATATATAAACCTACTATATAAATATACAACATTATATGAATATATGAAAAAGAAGAATGTGTGTAAAATTAAATTGACACGTGTATAAGTATTGCCTTGCATTGTGTATGTATCAGTCCTGGTGCAATAGACATTGGTAATAGTGCGTTTTATAGTCACAGCAGTCTTAATGAGTTGCGAAACCTGGTGGTAACAATAGAAATATAGATAGGAAATGCCGACATTTCCCGGAGGGAGGGAGGGGGAAGGGGGGGGTTGTTATGTTATGTGACCACTGATCCACTGGAGCAGATGTTGCGTGACAAGTGATAATAGAGAAATAGTTGCCAAGTAAATTTACTTTTGTTATTTTCTCCCCAGATTTCTAGTTTCTCCAGGACCTGGAGAAGTATGATACTGGCACCTTTCGTCTCAGGTACTAATTTATAAAAGTCAGTTCACTTCCATTAACAGAATGGATTTATGTGTCTTGATGCTGACTGATCTTTATTACACAATTGACAGGCTGATAGGCAAGAGGGTAATTCATTAAAATCCTCTAATGTTCAGCTTTGATCTATTTAATAATTTGGTTTTATATACCTGGCACATGATCAGTACTTGAATATCTATAAGACTTTGAAGCTGGGCTGTAAGAGTTTTGTTTAGGCTTTGGTGTCAAGCGTATAGAGAGCAAGACAATATGTTAAATACTGAGAAGATGGTGATAGTGATTAAGTAAATACACAAAGTTATTACATGTTTTCATGAAGCTTTTAAATGCTCCTGACTGTCTTATCTCTTTTCTTGGTGACAGCTTCTGTCCCTCTGAGTCCCGATCAACAGGCAACACTCTATAGGACGTTTGTTCTCCTCCTCAAGTATGTTTTACTCATCTTTAACCATTTATCACCAACTGTTCTGCATGCTAGCACAATGTAGAGCTTTTATGGAGTGCTATTACTAGAATACAAACATTCAATGCATGTATTGCTAGATTGAACTGTTGTCCTTTTGGTTGTTGTGGTTCTTTTCTAAAACTATACTGAGTCATAAAAACAATCTTTAAAGATCCCCTCCAGGTATACACTGAGACTTAAAAATAGTCTGCTTAGAACAATAATGTGCGTCTGATATGGTTGGGGGGTTTTCCACATTAAAATCTTCACAGCTTCTATATTTAACCTTTAGAAAAACGTTAACCAGTGACCGTTATTTGAACTGCAGTTAAGTGACATACACTAGACTGAATGCTGGAAAATAAATTAGAGTGATATTTAGAATAACATTAATATCTGCAATGTTCCTCTGTTTTATTTGAACCATTGACTCCATACTACCCGATCACCCACAGTCAGTCTTGTCCATACACAGATACATTTACTGAAG